CCCCCCTAGTTTTCCCTTCCCCTCCCCCTCCCCCTCCTTCTCCCCTCCCCCTCCCTCTGTTTCAATTTCATCCTGAGGAGAATCCTGTGATGGATTATATTTAACACAGATTTTCAATCAATTTAGGGAAGGCATGTATATTCTATTCTGCTAGTATATAAGTTCAATCCACTAGTATATAAGTTGCAAACTTGTCACCAAAACAGTACTTACCTGCCGTATGAAATTTATGTACGACTGTTCCATTGCATGGCAATCACCGATGTTGCAACGAATAACATAGGGAAATGGGAATTTCTTGCCCTGTGCAAAAAGAGTGACAAGTGATAATTTAATCGTTATAGAATGGGAGAAAAATCATACCGACTATTTAATATACTTTATTGCTAATTGAGGCTTCCTAATAATCTATACTATAAATAATGCTTACTATAATAGAAATCTGCAACCCACTCGCATAGACCCCTATAATTTAGGAGAAAGACAGTAGAGGATCAAAGGCAACTAGGAGGGAATTAGTTGATGAGGAAACATTAATAAGGGTGATGAAAAGGGGTCAGTATCAGAAATTTAAAAGAGTGTATGAGGAAATGTATGGGAGATGGTAAACGAGGAAGAAAAGAAATATAGCAGAAATCTGGATGAGCAATGTGTGGAGAAGTGGCAATAAGAAGAATAGTAGGGTAAAATGCACCTGCGTCTAAAATTATACTTACCACCCTCTCGGTTTCACTTATAAGTTCACTGCCTTCACTACACTCATCTCGGCCATTTAACCCTTCTCTACTTTTCTTTATCTTCTCTAACTAATCTTTTCTGCTACCCACTCCTCTTCATCTCACGTTTCTCTCGGGTACTTTCTCCCCATCATCCCCCCTGATGTGATTTTCAACTACATTGCATATTTTCCTTGCATTAGTATTTCTATCAGGGCCATAGCCTCTCTGGGGCAAGGGGGGCAGCTGCCCCCCCCTAAATTTTCGCCCAAAATTAAAAAAAGAAAAGCTTAGCTAATAATCATGAATAATCCCAACATTATTTTTTGGTCACTTATCCGTGAAAGCCTTGTCTCAGACCCACCCCTACCACACTATGGACGTCGATCAAGAACTGCGCTCGTCCCTCATCATTACACAGTCGAGTCATTGTGCACATTGTGCACCCCCCCCCCCTAGGATTCTGCTCAGCCGACAGTCCTATCTATGAATTTATCATTATGAATTTATCTATTATAACTTATCAATTTATCATTATTATTACCAGGAGTGGATCTATTATTATTCACTCCTGGTATTATAATCATGTTAGTATATATAATGTGTAAGTACAATACCGTATATCACTAATCATCATGATCATGTATGGACCACTGACGCTCATAGGGTTTATGTCCCCCAGGGTACTGCCGGAACGTACCCTGGTCACTATTTGATATGGTTAGGGTTAGGATTAGGGTTAAGGTTAAGGTTAGGGTTAGGGAGTAGGCGTAGGCGTCTCCCTAGACTCGTTAGTGGAGTAGGCGAGGTACGGTCCGGCATATTAGATAGTACCAGGGTAGGTATGTTCCGGTATACTGGACCGTACGTCCAGGGTACGTTCCAGCAGTACGCCGGGGGACATAGACCCTCTCAGCACCACTGACTGTGAGGAGCTTGCAAGCTCATGTTGACATATATCTCCTGTTACAAATGTACCGTCTTTATTTAAATTAATAAATAATAAATAAAAAAATAAAAAAATAAAATATGTGCACGTGTTGAGCATTTTACCAACATACTGTCCCCGACATGTGTCTCAGAGAATATTTTTCATTACCTCTTTTAGCTCCTTCTGCATCTCTCTCGCCCTGATAACCAAGGGTCCTCTGACACTGTATTCCATGTTTATAATGCATGGATTGAGAGTGTCCATGTTTAGGACTTTTTGGCTGCCGGTGTCCATATCAAGCACTTTCTTCGTGTCACCTGCTCCACCCGCCATTCTGACCGATGTACGGTGAATCTGCTTTATAAGTGGAAAAAGAGCACACCACCGATGCCAATATTCGAGATAAAAGACGGCGAAGACCTGAAAAGTTAAAGAGACAAGAGATCACACTGACACGCACAGACACCGACGGGAGAAAGGCAGCCAAGAACACAGGCGATCGCCGGATCGGAACATCAGCGCCTCTTTCGTACAACTTCAGCTGCTCATGGTCACGGACTGCTCCCAGCGTCTTTTTACTGCAAACGAGCGTATACCATTGCGAGGGAGGCTTGTCCACAGAAATAGAAATAGAGATCTTCTATTTCTATTTCTGTGGCGTATACCACTGATACTAAGCGGTAGAGATCAGTGGCGTAGACACTAAAGCAGTAATCTATGCACATGTAACTAAGAAATTCTTAAATGTAGTTAACTAACAAGCATCTATGTTAATATATTATATTGACGTATATTTATAATTTTGAAGGTGGCGTAAAAAATTCTCAAATTAACTTTTACCGTTTTCGACTGCCAATAGAAAATGATTTGAGACCGTGGCGCTAGTGGGATATTAAATATGTCTGCGTCCTATACCAAATTCTCTGTTTGTTTGGTCGTCTAGTTTCCTATCAAAACAAAGGAATTAGCGGTATCTGTGGGAGATTTATCCTTCCTAGGGTTGTATTGGAATTCACCTAGTATCGCTACAATAATGCCAAAGATTCCAAAAGTGGTTATATGTGGCCTCCAAGGAACTGGCAAGACTGCAATACTAGAGCAGTTGATATATGGCAATCACAAAGTTGGCTCGGTAAAACTAAAAGTGCATGTGCATTTATTGTATCTTATGGAAGACCTGAGACGACATGCGGCTTTTTGAGTTTCCGAGTTTCTGAATTTCCGATCAATATATATATATATATTTATATATAAATTGTTGAGAGAGTCGTAGAAAATGTTTGAAGTGCAAAAATGAACACTGCGCATGGCATGCGTCATTCAATGATTCAGTGTTTTATGTGTGTTATTTAGCGGAAAAATACAATTTGAATTTAGAATCCCCTACCGTGAAAGGAAATGTGTGTGCCTTTTTAGCTCAGCTGACGAAGTCGGATGCAGCTTGTAGAATCGCATGAATGTCCGTGCGATTGTGCGTCCGTCCGTTCGTGTGTCAACAGTTACGGCACAAATCTTAACCGCTTGACGTACGGTCTTGATATTCGGAACGTCGGGGGGGGATCGCGGAAAAGGACTCGGGATGTCCAATTTGGGGGTCAAGGGTCAAAGGTCAAGCTGTGTCAATGGAGGGGGAATATTTTCCCCTTAACTTAAAGTATAGGAGGAAATACGTAATTGCGGCACAAATCTCAACGGCTCGACCTACCCTCTTAATATTCGATGTATAGTGTGATGGGGAGGAAACCCATTACCAGCGCGAAATTGGAGGTCATAGGTCAAAGGGCAGTGGGGAAAAGGTCAGATATCAGACATTTTCTGAGGACATGGTCTAACGGACCAAGTGCAAAACCTTTTTGTTTCAGCGCTGACCTACCATTTTTATCACTTTTTTGAAAGGACCATGAAATGTACTTTCTGCTGACGTGCGGAGAATAAGCGTCTGATAACCTTTTGACCCTCAAGAGGAGGGTGAAACATGGATTTGTTGACTGTTAACAAAGAACTGAACTGCTTTTTCTATTAGAGCCCCCCCACCACCACCACCACTATGCTCGCGCTCGACGCATATCCATGATAACATGTTAATATAGAGAATTGATTAAAGTTACACAGCTGTATCTTTATTACTGTACTACCAGTACAGGGTGAAAAACTGATAATTGGAGGCACTGGTCCAGCAGGACCAGTACCTCTGAGGAAGTACTGGTCCTGGTCAGTAGGCACTGGTCCAGGATTTCTGTCATAGCAAATGGAATGACTCGGATGTGGGGACGTTTTTATAGGGGGGGGGGATGGTGCAATTTGGTGATGTGCATTCTAAGGTATTCTTAAAAATTATATTTTTTACTCGTTTCGATAAACTGATGCGTAGTAAATCGGAACAAGTCCCAAGATCAATCTCAAAAATCAATAAAATCAATCAAAGATCAAAAATCAACGATCAAAAATCAACGATCAAAACATCAAAGATCAGCGGTCTCTGAAGACCGCCCATTATTCCTATAAATTATCATATTTAATTACACGCGATCGCTGATTGGTCGGGATGCCCAGTATTATCGAATTAGCAGAGGTTTAACAGCATGACCTAGAAAATCGAACACAACAAACATGGAGAGTTTGTGTACTTCGCATGAACTTTAGGCTTCGGAATTTGACTATTTTTAGTCTATATTTGATTAAATTTACCATTGATTTCATTAGAATAATGTAGAAGGTTAGTAGAGAATAACAAAATAATCAGGCCACAATTAAAGAATTTTTTGTTTGCCCTCACCCGACCCAGGCTGAAAAGTGTGGTTGGCTTTTTTTTGAGGGGGGTCTTTTTACAAATTCAGCAATGGTGTCTACGTGCTCAGGTGTGCTTGTGTGGAGATACCTCTAATGTTTGCCTACACATTTATATAATGTACATTGTACAGTGATGCAATATACATATAAAATACTTTTAACAACTTGTGTTTATCAGAGCTAAATTGTGCATGATTTTATTTCTAGATCACACACGCACGCACGCACGCACAAATACACGTAATGTGGAAATAAAAGCATTACAAATAAAAGGAACTTGAATTAAGAAATAATAAATATCTTCTTAGCACATATTAGTCTTTGGAAAGGAAAATAAAGTTAATCTGTCAGAGTTAGATTCATAATTAAGTTATTTAATATCTAAATTATAATATAGCGATTTCCAGGATTCCAGCAAAGTTTTGCTGTCCAAGTTTTGGAATCCAGCGATTCCAGGAAAGTTTTGCTGTCGCGCTCTCATACCAGCGGTGCCCGGCCACCCACTAATAATAAACATGCACCCTGGCATGCAGCTGAAAGTGAAACAATCGATAATGCACTCGCCCCTCCCCCCTACTTCAATCAGTGCCGCCCAGCCAACAGGCACGTACGCAGGCTGTGCATAGCTCTAGCACTATAGCCCGCGTACAGTTGCCGCAGGCCTGCCACATACGGAAACTTTAAAAAAAAATCGGAAAGGTCAATACAAATGTTTGTGTCGGCCCCTTTTTGGCGGGTCGGTCGGGTGAGGGCAAACAAACAACATTTTTATTATGGCCTCAGTTTGGTAAATTTTTTATTTCCTGTGCGGCGATTATGCAGTCGCCCCGCCGGACCAGCTGACACGAGCAAGCAGTCGCCCGGTCGATTTTCTAATCTGCCACTGGCGACTGGGCGACCGCTTGTTTCTCATGCTGCAGTAGGTATAGCAAAGCCTATCATAGATATTAGATCTGTATTAGTAGTATCCTAGATATATGCTCTGAGCGCGAACGCGGTAGCCGGAGGGCGCACTTGATTCGGTTGCCAGTGAGTTTATTAGAAGAATACTTGGCTACAGTACACGTCAGTTGAGCACTGTCGCTCTGCGGCACTTGTTAAGCGGGATAGCATAATTCAAATGTAGAATCTCCTACCGTGAGAGTAAATGTGTGTTCTATTAAGCGGGAAAGCATAGGGCCTAATTTAAATTTAGAATCTCTGTCATAATGCATGCGCAGTGTGTCTGTTTTTGACTTAAAAATATTTCTCAATGCGTGTTCTCAAGTGTTTACATTCTTCCCTGTGTGACCCTTGTTTGACCTCCATCTCTATTACTATATACGATAAGAAATTCAAAAACTCAGAAACTCAAAAAGTGGTATGTTGTTTCAGGGCTTCCATAGTATCTTATGACATGTATAGCTTTGCATATATTTGTATGTGTATATTATCGCACAACAATGAGAAGTTTACCTTGATTCCAGCTGTTTTGTAAGCCATGGCAAATAGCAACAGCTAACATGGAGGTAAAATTCTCATTAAATCCTGAGTAAATGACAGAAAATGTGATACATACATTACAAAAGCCACCTGACATATTGTTACCAGCAGTGGCAAGGTTTGTGAGTGATTAGACTTTTGTTTATCAGTATCACTAACGTGGGCACCAGAAAGATTTCTGAAATTTAAATTACTACATACTGTGTGTTATTGAACTGTTATATTCAATATATGTGAGTTCGTCCAATTTTTAATATTAAACGTCAACAAATTTGTATTATTTGCAGGAGGTAGATCCAACTATTGAAGACGTCTATGTAGCTAACATAGAAACAGATCGGGGTACAAAGGAGAAGATCAGATTTTATGATACAGCTGGATTGGTAAGAACAGTAGCAGAAGGAATGCCACACCATTCAGAGGATGTGATAGTATCAAAACAAATTAACCCCACCTGTTCTCTAATATTCACCCTTTACCCTCATATGTAATATCTTACATGTTCTCGTGTAATACCTTAAACAGTTATTAAACTTTTTAAGAAAATGTTATTAGTGAATATTAAAACCACAAAATTTTTCATTGAGTATAATAAACCCACAGGATTTTATTTAACCATTTCCTTTCAGAATGAGCAGAAAGTTACAACACTAAAGCACCTGTTTAGCTCTGTGGATGTAAGTTGACATTAACATATTTACTTATCACGATCCTACGTAATCATGTGAATATCATGTTTTGGGCAATGGGGCTAATCACTATGTTTAAGTCTAGTTAATGTGTAAGGATACTCTCAAGGTTTTAGGCAAAATTTTACTGATTTTTCATTTTCAATTTTATTCGATGGCTAACACTATGTGCCACCTTCGTACATGCTCATTTCTTCATATAACGGTACATGTGAACTGTCAGAGCGATTTGACTGCCTGCGTACATGTGTAGTAAGCAGCGGCTGACTTCATGATGACCAGTCACTCATTGTGAAAAATAGAAAAACCCTGATTTCTCCGTTTCGATTTCTGACATAGTAGCCGATATATAAATGGATATTTCTCTGTGATTACAACTCGGATTAATTTAATTTTACACTCGTTTTAATGGTAACATAGTGTGGTAAAGAAGTGCGTCAGGGATTGTTATTAAGTGCCGTATTTTATTAGTTATGCCTTTTTATTCGCTAAAATTTTCAATTCTAACACACAACTTGATTTTTAAGCAGTTTTTTCCAGTTCTCTCGGTAAATATGAAAATTAAAGAAAAATTCTGACGCACTATTTTGGTCCATATTGTGCTTAACATCAAGAGCTAATAATACCTAGAGTGTACAACGGAAAAACGGGAAAATAGTGCTATTTCACGACTACATTATTCTACTTTGCCTGCGAGTCTAGAATAATTTCATGGTATTGCATTAAGCAGAATTCTTTGCTCTCTAAAACAAGACCAACCGCTTGTCAATACGATACTCCTAGGCGGAGATATCGGCTCCTAAACCTCCCCTCCCACATGCCAAACGCCGCCTTGAATCCACTTCTGCCAGCATCCTACACGCGGGTAAGCATTTTGGCTATCGGTTTCCGTCACCACTTGGAGCGCTGATAATTGATGTCATATGCCCAAATTTGGTACTGTTACTACACTTAGTAACTGAGCTGCGTTGTAAAAACTTGATGGAGCCGGCTCCATCATGACGGGCGTTAGCCGTGCTAGGAAAGATAATGGAAGATAAGGGCATAGGCGATGCCCCCGAATGTCACCTATGATAACCGAAGCACCGTCCATTCATAAATTTATCGCGGAAAAACCGAACTTTCACGAAGCAACGCTTAGCCGCGTGTAGGATGCTGGCAGAAGTGGATTCGAGGCGGCGTTTGGCATGTGGGAGGGGAGGTTTAGGAGCCGATATCGCCGCCTAGGAGTATCGTATTGACAAGCGGTTGGTCTTGTTTTAGAGAGCAAAGAATTCTGCTTAATGCAATACCATGAAATTATTCTAGACTCGCAGGCAAAGTAGAATAATGTAGTCGTGAAATAGCACTATTTTCCCGTTTTTCCGTTGTACACTCTAGGTATTATTAGCTCTTGTTAACATGTGGCGAAAATTTTGTATCCTCACTCTTTCTGGTAGTTGAGAAATATCCAAAATACCATTTTTACATAAAAATTCAAAATTTGTGTGGTAACATAATTAGGTGCTGGAAATTTCATGAAATTTTTTGGCTTGAGCATAGAGATATATCTCCTCTATAAATAAAACAAGGGATTGATTTGATTCATTTGCCAATAAACGTTTAATCTTCATTAGAGCAATACCTGTGCAAAAGGTGGAGAAATAAATTAAGAGTGCCTAAAGGGGGCTTAAGCATAATACCACATTCATTTATCTTCTTTTTTTTAAATTACTTAGTAACTATTTTATTACATAAAAAACTTATTATTTCAGGGAGTGATATTGGTTTACAGTGTCACTGACACACAGTCATTTAAAAAGCTTGATATCTTGAGGAAGGAAGTGGACAGAGCAAAGGATAAAAAAGAGGCATGTATCAGTTAGTTTACTTTATTTAGTAATTAATTAATTAATTAGTTCTAGTATTAATCTGCCAATAGTATTAATTGGTAAGTCATTTTTTCTCATACTCTTAGTGATAAGGCATCTAAGATGTTTACAAATATTTGGTGTCAGAATAATTGGACTTACCCCGACAGTTGTGTATGTAGCTTCACTTGGACATGATTCAGCATGTGCCATGTTCCAATAAATACCCTGTGCTCAAACCCTTGCACTTGCCAGAGATTGATCATGCCTGTTCTTGACGAATCCCCTAGACTGAACTAGTAACAAATATAGATTTGTGAATTATGTTGGATTATTATGGTTGTATTTTAGCTTCCTGTGATAGTTCTGGCAAATAAATCCGATTTGACAGATGAACGGATAGTGGACAAGGCCCAAGGAGAAATGTGGGCAGCAAGGGAACGAAGTATGTTCACTGGCTGCAGCTAACTGACACACAGTTGTGCCCATACAGATTTCTAGTAACCAAGTTGCTAACTAATTTCTAGTTATGCTGAATTATAATGGCAAGGTCGTTTATAATTGTCAGAAATCTATTCAATGTGTGATGATTAATAGAATATCATTGGTGCTTTTAAATTATCTGCTACGTTTATATTACAGTAAAACATTATGAAGTAACCGCAGCAGATAGAAGAACATTAACTGAGCCCTTTGTATTTCTGACATCCAAGCTAACACAGCCACCCAGTGAGTACCACCTACCACGACCCAAATACCTTGTCGTTCAGTTACAAATTTGGCATCAGTTCTACCAATTGGGAATCTTTGGACTTCTTCAACCAATCATGAATTGTGCATTGCCGCATTGTTGAAAACGTTTGAAAAATATGAATAGAAATATTCTATCTCGTATAGTATTGGCCTCTTGTGTCATATCTCTCATGTGGCACACGGTGGGTGCAGGTTGTGAACGACTTGTATTCAAAAGTTGTAATTTAGAGTAACTGGAAGTACAACAACTCTGTGCAGAGTCCAAGCTAATGCTGGATTATTTTTTTTAGATAAATCATCATTTCCAACTGCTTCTCAACTAGCACGGAAAATTACATCGAAAGGTGAACCAAAGGCAGAGAAAAATGTTTCTGAATGCTGAATTTAGAAATTTTGCTGTACAGTCAGCTGTTGCAACATGTAGGTGGCAGCACCTCCTAGACATCCTTCACCTCTCTTTACTCTGCATTGGCCATAGAAGGCAGTCAAGTGTTTGTAAATTCATCAATCTAGGTGTTCTTAGTTACCTTTTCTATGTTATATGAATATCCTGGTTATATATTATTTAACAGTACAAAAAATAGTAGAGTCCCTAACTATGATTCAATTATAAATAAAGTAATTATAGATTATATATATTATAATAGATCATTTTAGAAACAGGGAAATATGTATATATATATCACCAATTACCTTGTAAATAGCCAATAAAATTTGTGAAGTTCAAAACAGCCTTTATTTTTCCAATCAACTTCTACAAGTCATTATTATAAAAAGGTCATGAGACACTTATGGAGCATAAAATGGCCTTTTATTACAATGTCCTTAAAATAACATCATATGCACAGTAATTAGCACACCTGGGCACAATGATATGTATATTTTCTTGCACTACCACTTAAAGGAATACTTTACTCTAGAATTTGAGAGTATATTATGATAGTCGATTTATAAATAATAGCACATACCTATAAATGTCTATAATTACGCATTCACGTTTGTCATAAAACAATATTTAATTTTGAAATCTTCATTTTTGGATGCTGACATGACACCTGCAACCGTGCTGCCACCCTCAAAAAGTTGCGCATTTGCCCAAATATTTTGCACGTTACAGACTGAGGGCTAATCACAAAAGTGCAATTATATTTATACCTAAATGCTATTTAACTGAACGATATTTATTTTAGGACAAATTTATCCATATTATAACTGAAACTATATGACGTTTATAAGATATTGCAATCCTGCTCTTAAATTAATAAATAAGAAACACCCTCGGTCTGTAGCCTGCAGCTGAAAGGTTGCTTTGCGCAACTTTTCAGTGGGTGCGCTGCCAGTGGTGCCACCGACGTTGTAAGCAACGGTATAGCCATCAGTTGTAAAACATTTTTTTTTAATATTTCTAATAAATATCGAACCATAAAACTTTTTATGAAGCGTAATTTTAACCTAAATCAACTGAAAATAACCCTAGAACCTAGAGTCAAGTATTCCATTAAATTAATTAAAATTACAAAAATATATCTGTGTTTATTGGAAAAGAATTGAAAAACGGACTGACTGCCAGAGTGACTGCCAGCTAGTTGAGTAAACCTACATGTGCATTATTCATTGGATGGTAATATTAGTTATGGTGGTTACATGGTAATAGAAAGTATTTCTGTATTTTTTAATAGGTATATCCCTACAAAGTGGTTGGACAAGATAATATATATGCTCAGAGTGCCCACAGAGCTCGTTTTAGGCATTATTTTGCAAACGATACTGCTTTAAGCTGGGGCTGAGATTGTCTTGCTTTGTCTGTAACTGCAAACTCCATTCTTAACTATGTTCCTCTGCAGTTGCTATAACCGTTTCACTGGAGGCTTCTGTCTTGCTACTTTTCACGCCATTATGCATTCCATCACCATTGGCACCTATTGAAGATGTGCTATTTTCTTCCATGGGTGCATTTGTTTCACCGTCATTAGACTTCTTCCCTTCAGAGTCTGCATTTTCAATTACACCACTGAGGATCTTAGTGCTATCATCTTGTCTATCCACCTCTAAATCTGTAACTGTGTCTTTATCGGTACTTTCCACATCACCCGGAGACCCTGCCTCATTCACTCCACCTTCTTCATCATCGTCCTGGTACTTTCCATCAGTTTTTCTTTTGTTTTCTATCTTCTCAAGCTTAAGCTGGAAAGCCTTATCTGCAATATAATGCTATCTCTCAGAAAACCTGCCACAAAATGCTAGAAGATGCGTGAAGACAAAACGTACAAAGGCAGTCACTACTAACGTTCCTCTTTATAAATATTCATTAACGTTGCATGACATGTTTAGTATTATGAGTTTTATAAAAATTTATAATACAAATCTTTCATTATATATTTGGTATATCTGGGTATAAACTCTAGGTCTGAAAAGAGACGCGGCCATCGTTATAAAGAGCACACACCACATACCTATCGTGGACACATCTACTCCACACAGTCTGAGGATGTGCATGCGCAGATCTTTGGGAACAAACGAGCGCACCGAAACCTTTCCCCTCCATCCCACTATCTCAATGGAGAATTTCGAAGCATTCTCACTGAAAGAAAACCACTATACAGTCACACTGTACACACTCTGTTATCGTAATATGGTATTTATACAATACATATAAATACTATTAGTTCAAATTATACTAATTTTGTTTCTTTTTATGTTTTAAAACTGTGATGGGAATAGTTGTGACTATCAATAATTAGGTTTCTTAGATACAGGCACTAATACCTTGCTGGTCGATTGAAGAGGAAACATATGCTGCCAGTAGCTAAATGTGAAAAAATGAGAACACAATTACTAGCCTTTTTGTGAAAGTTTGAGGAAAAGAAAAATGCACTAACAATTAAACTCCTCACCTCAATAACGAAATTAACCACTTCACAATCTAGTCATACGAAAGGCACACAAGCATAATATATAACATATGTGACAGTATGTCTATGTGAATAACCCCTATAATGAAAAGATATGGCACATGTAGCTAAAGGAACATACATATATTCTTTAGCTTTTCGTGGAGAGGGGGACTCATTCTGTAAAGAAATGGGTTCTCCTGAGTGAGTAGTGTCACAATGTCTTCTTGCTCTGCCACTTCCAGGACTCTAGTAGTTATGTATGGCAGCATACTTCTTGATCCCTGTATAAGAGCAGTAGGACTTCATGAACCCATCAATAACGATATGAAATTCGCCACTATAATGAAAGTTTTTCATGTATGAACAAAATAAAATAGGAATGGTGCAGGTATATGAAAAGCCAATTGACAATATGCAAAATTATTATATCACACAAATCCCAATATATGAATATTAATGCAATGTTGGAAAATAATTTCATTGCTATAAGAAATTCTAGATAATTCTATTTTCAACTACCTCTTGGCAGAGTCGGAAGTCACAATCAACACCCTTTTTGTTGCTCCTGGCTAGGATTTTCACTCCAGTATTAATAATCTAAAACAGAGCATCAGCATATGGTTAGCCACGGCACCACCAAATGTCCAAGTTTACACACAGATGACAATCTAAACTCCTATATTCTACTAAAATGTCATAAATAATTTTTCAGTAATTACACTTTAATGTATTGAATTTATTTTGAAACCAGATAACGGTTATGAATTCAGTAGATATATATCCTATATAATGCCTGTAGCAGCAATGTAAATTGTACTTTTATTTTCTGTTCGTTGTGCACAATTATGTCCTTGACTGCTGGAGAGGACAAGTATAGATGACGTTTCTGACCCTCCAGGCAGCGTGTCATCAGGCACTTCACTGGGAAAGTGTCACCAAGGCCGTAAAACTCCCTTTATAGAAATTCATTTAATGCATGACGTATAGTTTATTACAAAGATTGGGTACGATTCAAAACTTGCTGTTCTTTTGAAAATTATATGGCTGAGCTCAAAGTTACAACAGTAGCTAATTTCGCACACTGTTTACAAACACAATTGGGGACTGTAAACGTAAATAGAGCGAAACACGTACTTGATGGGTGGTAATATTGGGTCATCTGGATCCAAGAAGATATAGGGATCTTCTTTATAACCCTCATATCTGAACTTCTTTTTTGGTGGGCTAAACATAAAAAACAGTGCTACCAATTAATACTTGTCATTGAAAATTGATGCAGATTGCAGGTAAAAGAGTATATAAATATTGTAATAATTTGCATATCACCTCAGATATATGAGCTATGTGTCACCATTTGAAAAGCATATCCACAATATCTGTATTTGTACCTATATGCACGTGTTTCTATCTTCTTCTCACCATCCCCTTCACCAGCATTGCTACCATCTTCCTCAACAGGTGCAGAGACCTTTGGAGGTTTAGCTGTCATCCAAGGAAGACGGCTATTCTTTTGCAGCACTGCCACAAAGAAGCCACCTGTGTCCTGATGATGTGGCAGTATCCGTAGGCTGCAGCAATCACAAATGCATATTCATTTATAATCAACACAGTTACCTAGTCGAATTACACAGTGGACAACTTACACCTGATTATACGGGCAATGTCTCAAACTGCATTTATCTATTCTATCACGTACTGGACTATCCTTGAACGATTTCTCGTTTGTAGGTGGTAATATATGCTTTTTGGTTTATGTACCAGCCTATCCCTAAATGATTATATGCCTGGGTATAATTTTAAGGTTTTAAGAATTTAATAATGTGCCGAGTTTAGAACTTTGGGGTCAAATGTGTATACTTTCAGTCTGCATGATTTTCATGAATAGCCGGTTTACAGCTACAAAAACTCATCTGATAGGGGAACCCTTACGGAAGACACTGCCATTAGTGTATGGTAGTGATCACAATTAACCAAAGACTGCACAATGACCCTGCCATCAATGTTCGTACCAATTCTCCAGATGGAGCTGCTGCACATTAGCAGGGGGGAATATAGATCCTCGAATCTGTGTGTGGAAAAGCTCTGGAACTTCGTCCATGCTGCTGTACCATACCTGTGCCTTACTCATCACCTATTCATACCAAAAAATAACTGCAGATTAATTCTAAACTCCTCCTAGACTAATTGACTAGTTGCAACAGCTGCCAAATATATGTTTCCTGTGCCAGCATCTGTTACCATGTAAGGCATGATTTTTACATTACATGATCATCTGTAGATCATATAGCCAATTTTGTCATTCAGATATCATGAAAATATAAACTTTTAGCCCTGCTAATTGTGGTTAACATGTTTATGTTACATACTCATAGGTTTTATATTCCAGCACAACTTTTATAAAACTTCATATGAACTTCTAATAAACACGCTTTTTCTCACCTTCCAGCTTGTCAGTCCTGGTTGCCTCTTCAAGGCAGGCAGCTGTTGGGATATATCTACCAACTCAACCGAACCTACATAACAATATCAGGATGTATCCAAACAATTGCATATTTGCTTGAAGTAGGATGGTAATCCTAATAGAGATAGGATTTATTAAATTCTAGAGGCTATCATCACCCATCACACTGGCAGTGTTAATTTTCTACTGGTGCTGGTTATGAAAAATTGTGAGTGTTAACGTGTAACACAGACTCATCTTTTTAATTCCATAGGTGCATGCAGCCACGTCAAAAAAATTCAAATTTAAAAAAAATTAAATTAAATTAAAACTATAACTCACATAATCACACAGCGTATCATATATCTCAGATGTAAAAATTTTGAAAGGGATCATAATTACCTTCACAATTGTTGAGCATGGAAGCAATAACAGCCTCATTCTCCACCGGGTTCATAGAACAGGTTGAGTAAACGAGTCTTCCTCCCTCCTCTAGCAGCTCAAGCCCTCGCCTCAGAATTCTCAGTTGTAAACTGAAGAAAAACATTGGCAATCATTTCAATTCTAAATCAATTGTGCGTCATCAGTCAAGCAAAGGACTTAGTCATTGTCTTTTGATATTCACTTGGGAACACAACAATGTCATCGTTTGGGTAAAAACTAATCAAAACTGATTTTTATGATTACGTCTTCGCTATAGCGAGTGAATGATTAACTCGAAATTTAACATTGAATACTCGCTATACCCATGTAGATTGTTGCTGTTCTGTGGCACCCACTTCCGCCACATGTCCACGTTTTTACGCAGTGTTCCGTCCCCACTGTAAGCAAAGAAGCAATAAAGGCGGTAAGTCGTGCACCAAAGCAACCGTTCTACGCACGTAACTACGCAAACACACGAATACATACACTGTGATGCGATACCCGCCCCTCCGCCTGATAAAAAAAGGCTGAGCACATCATGCACACACCTGCATGGAACGTCGCATAATATGCGATCGTACAGCAAGTTTGTCTTCTGGCCATCTGGCTTGGTCACCAGCAGATTGGGCATGTGCGATGCGTCTTGATTAGTGATCATGAAGCACGGACTTTCGAGTCGTTTGGTCTGATGCACCAACAAGTAGCAGCGCTTGTTGTCGGAGTCATTCGCAATCACAAAACCCTCTGCAATCAAAATGGAAACCAATGCAGATCCAAGACCCGTGGATACACACATCAATTGGTCAGGTCAACTTTCAATGTGTTCACACGTGTGTGCTTGCAGTTAACTAAACTCGTGCCAGATGGTTCGTTTGCAATTAAGTCTATTTTGGCTTGTAGTAAACTGACCCAGCGTTTTCACACCCAGATGGACAAGCCAGTAGATGAATAGGGAACTTTTTATTCAATGTTTACAGTTCTTTGAATGCATAGGTTAGCACTCAATGCATAGTTTAGTCATAAAAAACACGTACATCTGACGACTAAACAATTCAAAGATAAAATTTGAAAACAACACGATGTTTGCAGTCTGAGTGCAAGATCAAGCAATCATGGAAATGAAAGCCGCACACTCTATGAATTGTCTAATGAATGACATCAGAAAGCTAACTTAATGGAGACGTAATAATAAGCAGTGCACATAGTAGTGATACCTGGGTTGGTTGTATCTCCTGTGTGCAGCATCTCTATCAACTGTGCTGTTTTCGATCCTGGAGCTGCACACATGTCTAGCACCTAATAGTTAGCAACAAAAATAAGTTATTCTCACCTTAACATGGATTGGCATGGCAGATGCAAAGTGAAGGCCTCCTGTCGCTAATCTCGGTCTCATCAACGCGCCACAAAATGAATCGTTTTATGATAAAGTTTGGAAATATTTTGTGTACGAACACTGTGATGAGGTTTCACATCCATGAGCAACGGCGGAATCATGCTGACCGTCTCCTGTCGACTGATGTTGCCCTAAATTACACAAGTACCCAAAACTCATTATTTCACACAAAGGTTGGATGGATATTGATTGTGACTTATAATATAGTGATTATAACATAGTTATAGTTGATAGAGCTCCCATGCAGTCTAATAAAAAAGCTACAAGTATATTAAGATAAATTTTATTTTCATCGGTATGAGATAAAAATTACAAACATGAGCTCAAAAGCTCTTGGACCGATATCAAACAGAGGTAAAAAAGTTAACAGTGAAAATTAAAACATAATAATATACATTCATGACAGGGTAATATACATTTACACAGATGATGTCAATGTCATTAATTACAAATAAGAAAGAGAATAAGCAATAGAATAAACAGCAGACCAACATTACAGATCTATCGATTCGAATGGTATAGCCACTTGTTAGATGTGATAAAATATGAGAGGTTTGCGTTTCTATACACACATGAAGCACATCATAATGAGCAGATTTTGACTGTGACTTGCACATTCAGATTATGTGTTATTTAGATAGCTGTCACAGTTAGGAGCCACTCACACTCTCTGTCTCTGTGATGAGAAAGTGATGAAGCTTCTGAAGAGGAACAGACTTTCTGATGATCGTTCTATTGATGTTTAGTTGCCATGCCAACTCATCTGGGTACCTATAAACGGAATAACCATACAAAACTTTTTAAACTTCATGCAGATTCATATGTAAATAAGATATTGCAAAACATAGCAAAATTAAAGAGAATACACTATAAAAATGCAATTAAACAGCCTTACTTGTGCTAGATTATCAACAAATACGAGTCGACATTATCCCACCCAACGTACCACGATATACATGTTGGCTTAGGAAGGCTTTCCTCATCTGCATCAGGCTTCCTGTTCATCAGCTCGCTAAAGAATTCACTCTTGATGATGGCCAACACGGCTTTGGCTTGGCTGCGTGCAAAAACAATACGAGAATGTGGCGCTTTGTTTGACTTCACCTCCTGTCCATTTGCAGAGCACAGACTGTCAGTGCTTTGTCTAGCAGCCAAGGTAATGACAACAGAAACCCAAGTTTTTGGGGTCATTCTCACCTCTTAAATCCAGTTATTCTGAAAGAGCTTGGAAGAGGTCGTCTGAGCGTGTCAATAAACTGGTCCCACTCCTCTTCAGGAATTATGCCTTGTTCCTATTTTACATAATTAAATTTATGATAAACTTTAAAATTTGAAAGACAATTTTTATTATCAACAAAAATTTATCTTTGATTAAAATGTATTTTTTCCTCTCAAAATGATTGTCAATATGAATATATTTGAATACAACACACAGTGAACATCAGTTTCATTAAACAACATCAAAGCGGTAAATGGTATAACTATGCATGATAATTGACAAGCGATAAGAATGAATAATATTGACTCTTAATATGTAATTGTAGATCTTGCATGACCTGAACGAAATCATGATATGCTGTCTGTACACACAGTGCACAAAGTCAACGTCAAACAATGGTTACAAATGACGTAAGAGTTTAAAAATGGCGTATTATTAACGGATAATCCTTAACTTACAATTTTGAACTAAGGTTGGCTTTTCGACAGTGGCTCCACATATTGAGTAAGACCACTTAAATTACTGGCAAGACTATTGTTGCCGATGAATGGATGCCCCGATGCACTGGCTGTTCCTGTATCATTCATTCTTCTAGGTTAACTTAAGCTGAGAGGGTCTATGTCCCCCGGGGTACTGCCGGAGTGTACCCTTGGTACGGTCTGGTATACCGGAACGTACCCTGTTACTATAATATGCCGGACCGTACCTCGCCTACTTCACTATCGAGTCTAGGGAGTCGCCTAGGGAGTCCCTAGGGGAGTCCCTAACCCTAATCCTAACCCTAACCATATCAAATAGTGACCAGGGTACGTTCCGGCAGTACCCTGGGGGACATAGACCCTATGAGCTTAACTTAACCATATATGACGAGCTTCAAAATGAGCAGGGCTAAAACTGTTCAGGCACACATAAACAAACTTTGATCACATGCCTTTAATAAGCATAACATAATATACCTTATAGTACTTTTCAAAAATCTGATTCTCTTTTGGAGTTGCTAAGTACCCAGCACCTCTGATGTCATTTTTCCAACCTTGTCCATCTTTTGATTGCTACAAAACATGATTGGTTATGAACACATACTTCAGTTAGCACACTTATATAGCACAGTACAACTATTGGTTTATATAATCATTTTATAAACACATTACACATCTCTCTAAAAGAATATCACAAAAGAGATGAGACCTATTCTGCTATAGCCAGCTATACCATAACTTCTGCAACACACTACTTTACAGAAATTACTTTACATATTATTTATAATTAATAAAACTAAGATGGCAATAAATATGCAAAGATCATAGATTCAAATTCAAAGCAATGAAGTGCCATGCCCATTACATGATCCCACAATAAGCAAATAATTATTTGCACCAAGTTATGTTCTGTTCTGTGCAGCCTGGTGCAAAAAAAAACATCATTAACTTCCCCATATCCATAAGCCTAATCTTAAGCCTATCATTAATGAAAGTGTCAATGACACTGTAGCTCACCACAAAAAAAGGACACAAATGAGTGAGTGAGAAGAAGTCAGTTTTAATTGAGCAACCATCGACGTACATTATAGAAACGAAGAGTATATATGGGAGAACTCCCATTATATACTCTTGATAATTATGTGTAATTTATGATGTGAAAATAATAAATAATATATCTAATATATATTTGAGTTCGTATGTATGTATGTATGTATCTTCCCTATAGGCGGCCAAACCGCCCAAGCGATCTGGATGCAATTTTCACAGGGCCATCTCTTATACCCGGGGAGTGTTCCTAGATGAAAAAAACCTGTCAAACCGTGTCAATTCGTGAATCTTCACACAATGTCAGCACTCACTGTACAGTGCTGCCACACACATCGATTCCCTCACCTCATCCGGCTGCTGGTATTGTGAAACCGAAACCAATACTAAAACACACCACAACCAGCACCAGTTCCACCAGTGCAGAGGTACTACTCACTCAGCTCAGAGGTTCAGTTCAGATGCTACGATCTCAGAATGCATTGTACCATTCAAAAGCTATGCAGTTTCTGATTCAGTAGG